TGACAACCTCAAAAATCATATTTATTCAATATAAATTCATCCCTCTTCCAGATCTTAAATTTTCTACCACTACAAACTCAGAAACTAAATAAGAAGGATGACTAAGAAAATTTTTTAGAACACTTACTTAGTCTTGAAAAGCTTAAAATCACACCCTAAATATCCTATTAAAAACTCTTACCTTAAAAATTTAGATATTTCGCACCGGCAACTCGCTTCTCTCCGCCTCAGCTCGCGCGCAGAATGAATGAGGAAATGAAGGAAGGTGAGTTTTTATAAAAATTCAGTGGGTCCCACACATTTTTTTTATTATATTTCTTCTTCTCTCTCTTCCCCCCTTTTTTTTATTATTATTTTATACTTACTATTCATGCGGCCGAAAGCAAATTCATTTTCTCTTCTTCTTCCTTTTTTTTTTTGTCATACCTTTTTCCCTTTTTTTTATTATAATAATAATTTAATAATTAATTTTTTTTTATTAATTTTTTTTATAAATTTATTTATTTTTTTTTTAAATTTTTTTTTAAATTTAGAATTATATCCTAAATTAGATTTAATAATCATTTTCTACTAATTTTCTTACCTCTAAATATTATTATTATTTTTTTAAAAAAATTTCTATTAACCTAATTAACTATTAAAATTTAAATTGAGATGTTACAAAAATCAAACTTCCAGCGGCGACTCTAAAAAGTCACCACTAATTGTCAACTTTCAATGGCGACTTATATGTCACCACTGAAACTTAGACTTTCAACAATGATATGCACTTGTTGCTGCTAAAAGTCTAACAATCTTCATTGACTATATATTGTCATTACAAAAAATCACCCTTTCAATGATGACTTTGAATATTGCTGTAGAAAGTCAAACTTTTAGTAATAACTTTTATTATTGCCGCAGATTGTTCATTTTTAGTGACGATTCTCTTTTTAGAGTCATCGCTAAAAGTTGTTGTTGAATTTTTTTTTTTGTAGTGAATTAAGGACCTTGTAATTAGATTAACTCGAAATAAGGACTTACAAGTTGTGAATAGAGAAGTTTGAATAAAATTTTAAAATTTTCATTAATTACCTTATAGAATCCTTATTTGTGTCATTTTCTCCTATTTTAAATTTTTAATATCTCTTTCAATATTTCTCAACTGTTATTCGTCATATATATAATTTATACATTTGATGCTTAAAATGAAGTTAAAAAATATGATTATCCTTTTAGTTATTTCAACCCTTTTGTAAATAAAGCTCAACACATATATGGGCAAATCTACCCCTTTCACATGTATGCGTGATCAAATCAATCTTCAACATTTCTCATCATGACATAAAGAGGAATATTCTTATCCAATAGTTTAATAATAAGCAATTTTCTCCATGGTGCACGCCACATTTCATATTCCTCTTGAGAAATCTCCATCATCACACGGTCGTCTGAATATTTCTCTCAATCACTACAACATTTTTAACCTATAACAACACTTTGGTTTACAACAATTCTAAAAGTATTGTCTAATGTCTGGATAAATAACAGTCTTCATGTATTGAGATTAGTCCTCACTTTAAGCAACAACTATTTGGTAATGACTGAAAATTGCACTCTAAAGTAAATTAAGCAATAGTTTGCAATAAAATTCTAGAATAGGTAACTTATAAATTGTTGCCTATAAAACCCTTCTTATTGCAACATTTAAAAACTGTTCCCTATTATATTCCATTAGGCAAACAAAAAAAAATTGATGCTTTTAAATGTTGCTTTTTACAACAGTGAAGAACTGTTGCATATTGTTTACGTTTATAAAAAAAACTATTTACTTTTATTTTTTATCCATTTTTTGACATATTCTTCTAATTTTATTTATTAAATTAATTCAATAGTTACTTTAAAAATATCTCTACATATAATAGTAATGTTAGAAAATGGTTAGAGGCTTGACTTATATTTAAGAGGTTCAAGGTTCAAATTCTAGGTAGGGCAGAAATATTTAATTTTGCCTATTGGAAGTTTACTGAACAATTCTTAAGTGTTGCTTATTCTTATAAAAAAACAACAGTATTTTTCAATTGTTGCATATTTCAGCGTTACCTGTTGTCTAAGGCAACACTTTTTGAATCTCTCCATACAGCATCAAAAACACAACTACCCTTGCCATCTTTGAAACCAGTACCCATATCCAGATCCATTAATTTACCTTTGAAGGAGATATAGATCATTCTCCAAACCTCCAGAAACAGCCTTCTCAAAATCATTCGCCTTTCTTCAAATCTCCGCATCCAATACTCTCAGAGCCACTAATCTTGACTTTGTTTTCTTCAAGAAACTACTAAAAGTAAATTAATCAATTTAGGTAAACAGTATCCAGTCAACTTACTTTTGCCATCAAACTTTATATTGGGGGCCATTAACCAATCATATATATCTGTTTGGATTAGCTTTTGTAAAGCTGAAGTTTTCATAAATTTAAGTTTGCAATATAAATTAATTGAAAATATGACCCAGAAAAAAAAAGACAAACTTTTGACCCACTTAATATCTCAGCTAGTGTCAAAGAATTGAATTCGGGAAATGACAGAAAAATATTCTTGAAATACGTAAATGAAAATAAAATCTCTTAAAATGCCATAATTTTTAGGAGCTTTTCTGACATTAATATTTTTGATAAAATTATTAGTTTAAAATAAACAAATTGTACAGTAAAATTGTAATTGTTTATTTTATTTTGGTCATTTCGTGTGATCTTATTTATTTATTCATTTATTTTGCATATAGGAGGGGGAACTTTTTTTCATTTTTCGATTAAATTTTGATGAGGGAACACCCTTCGTATTTTCAATTATGGGTTAATTTATTCAATTATTTTATTTAGCCTGTATAAGTGCATTGCCCAGATAAAATTTGTATTTTGAATACAGTGTGCTGTTGCTGAGTTGATAGAAATACCCCAAGAAGAGCATTGATTTTGAATGGATGCTATGCAAATAAACGGAGAATCATAAGTCAAATAAAATATAATCCATAAATTATATAATTACGCATCATTTTTGCCTAACGTTTAATTCAATATACCCACCATCCTTTAGTGCATCAATTTTTTCCAACATAATTTTTTTTTAACAACGAACAGACCTTAAGCTGAGGTCTTTATGATTCAGAAATATAGTTCTGTAATAAAATCATGTGTACGACATTTTTTACAAAAGGGAAAAAGTAAAATAATGAATTATTTTAATTCAGAAATATTGTTCAACCTAATATTTTTTATTTTTAGAATTTTAATTTATACATAATAATAAATTTTAAATAAATAATTTGTTGCTTATATGCTTAACATCTAAGAAAATAATAAATTCTAAAAAAGAATAAGTGTTGTTTATATTTTCTCTATGTATGTGGTAATAAATTTAAAAGCAGGACATGTTTAAATTTCAATTTGCCTTTAGAATAACATGCGTTTCAATAACAGATTATTCTTTATAATTTTAATATGCTGAGTAACAAATAATAAAATGATCAAACAGGTTAAAATTAGTTCATGCTCTTAAATTTCTAGAATTACTCTCAATGGAATTTATTAAATAGAAAGTACTGACTTATATTGATGTTGTTTAATTAGTTAAAAAAAAAATAAATCAAGAAGCATTAAGAAATTTTATAAAGTCTCAAGTTAAAAATTATAGAAAATTTTCTGATAATAATTAAAGACAGAAGGAATGAGTTATAAATATTTGTTCAAGGAGTATTTTTTAATCTTTGACGTCTTTTATTATAGTTACTGTTCACAAATTTTCCTTTTTTTTAATTAACGAAACAAATATATTTCAAAAAAATATTAGGAAAAATTACAAATAGGTCCCGTAGAGTAGACTTATTCACAAATAAGTTCCAAAAAATTTAAAAATGACAGCCAAGTCCTTGGGACCTGAGTGCAGTGTGAAATTAGGCTACGAAGACAATAATAACCCTATTAAACATATATTACATCAATTTATAACTGCTTTATTATCAATTTATAAATATAATTTTAACTTTTTATAACTTTAACTTCACATATTCAATACCTAAACAATCATTTATTATTAATAAAGTTTAACATTAACCGTTTGCAGCTATTTTATTATTAATTTATAATTATAATTTTAACTTTTTATAACTATAATTTTACTTATTCAATAGTTAAACCAATCAATTTAATTTAATTATTGGATATACATGAAGTTAGAACTGTAAAAAGTTAAAGTTATAATTATAAATTCCTGATTAAGTAGTTATAAATTAATTATTTGATAGATTTAATGTACGTTTAATAGGGGCATTATTATTTTTGTAGTCTAATTTCAAATTACACTTAAGTCCTAAGAGACCTGGCTGTGGTTTTTGAATTTCGTAGGACATATTTGTAAATAAGTCAGCTTCATGCAATCTATATGTAATTTTTCCAAAATATTATGATTATGTTTGGAAAAAATAATTATAGAAATTGAAGGAAAAAAGAGCGGGCTACTCCACAAGTTGTGCTAGTTAATTCATGACAGGCTCTGGTTAGTGCGAGTAGGGAAAAAGTTGCCTCTGAAAAAGCTCCTATTTTTTCAACCCAATTCACAACATTTTGGTAGATTGAACCTGTGAGCTCAACTCATATTACCACCTCTATTTGAGATGACAAAGAAGGTTCTTGTTGAAATTTCCGAAACATTACTTTCATGTCAGTTCAACTTCATATATATATATATATAGTTATAGCTAGGTCAATCAAGCTGTCAATTTTGAATTCTACAATAGTCTAATATAATGACGATGATAAGGAAATTCTTTACCAAGTCTCTATTCAAAGTTTTCCACTAGGAAGTCCAAAGGGGAAAAAGAAAAGAAATTATCATATCTCTTGATACTACAAATTAACACGAGCCTCATCCAAATCAAACAAACATATCACACATTCATTTTGATTTCAGAATTCTCTCGTTGGAGATTACCCCAAAAAGTTGATCCAATCATCATATCACATGGCAAGTTTGGGAACGATACAGAGAATTCCCAACTCATCAAAATCACCTTCATCGACCGACGAACCCTATGAACCAAAAGCACCCGATGAAAAGCAGTTCAGTGACTTCAACTTTTATTGTCCTCTCAACATTCCATTAACCCTAGAAGCTGCAGCTCTTCGGATCATCAGAAACTTGGGCAATTTAGGGTTATATTACACACTTTTTGTCTGGATCATACTCTTCATAACCCTAATCCCTGCACGCGAAGTTTCCTTGATTCTTCTGGTTATCATGACCTATGTGACAACGTTGTACTTGCTGCTATTAAGGGCACACCCTAATTCTTACCTCCTTCACAGAGTTTTAGACAAAAGGTTTGTTTTGGCTTTACTTGCCATTGCAACTATGGTTCAACTTATTTTAACAAGCGCAGAGATTCATCTGGGTGTGACTTTAGCATGTTCTATGCCTATTGTTTTTCTTCATGCGGTTTTGTGGATTAGTCATCAAGAGGTTATTTCTGAGAACCACTTTGAGGCTTCTAGTGTTGCAGAACTTGCTCCTCTTTCTGACAGAAGTAAAAATGGACGAGAGGGCCCAGATATGGTGTGATATTAATTTGCCTCTTCATAATCCTGGAGTCTCTTTTTGACATACTATACTATACATGGATGCTTTTCAAATGTTTATGTTGGTCTTGAATTTTGAGTAACAAATAAAATACTCAGATTTCCCTCTGAGCAGCTTGTACCTTGTGCTGAAGTGATGGAGTTTGTTTGTTTGTTTTTTTTTGGTTGTTTTAGTAAAAAATATTGGACACTTGACTTCACTGCTGTAATTAACAATTGAATTATATTGGGAAAATTGATGCATGGAAAGATGATGTTGATGGGAAATTGAATAGAAAAAAGATGATATGTAATATAATTTATGGAATTATTCTATTTCACTTAAGAATATTCTCCGTTGATTTGTATATATAGTCAGAATAAAATTATGGGTTGACAGAATACGCGCTTTCCTATGTCCTCTAGATTGTGTGAATCTTGCAAGGGATGGGAGACGACTGTACGTAGTTCTAAGGGATTGTGTGGAGACTTATTTACAAATAATTCCAACAAAATTTATTCAAGATTTACATATTTAGCCTATGAGTTGTTTAATGTTAGATTTAATTAATAAAACTCTTAACAATTAATTTGGTTTTTACTTACAAATGAAATTTAATTCAGTTTGCAAGTGAAAAAATCATAATTCAGAAGCTAGAATTCTTGTTTAATGCTAGATATAACAATACATAAGTCTCCATGTTATATCAGCATTATACAAGGAAAAATTAACTTATGAATTACAAATTTTACTTATTTGTTGTGATGTTGCAGTTGCGTATGAAAGCCACATTAACATGGGCAATATTATCTTTGTATCTCAACCTCAAACTACACTCATATTTCAAGGGACTTAATTTTACGTAGTTTTTAAATTTTACAAGATTTATTTATTAATTTGTTATATGGGATATATGTGATTTTCCCTAAAACAATTTTCTAGATTATAAAAATTTTATTAGTATTATAAATACATAAAAACTAGTTTATATTAAAGATTAAGAAAATTGGGAGAAATCTATGGTTGATATTTAGTTTATATTAGCCCTTTGAGATACATGTATATGTTGTATTCTTATGGGCATCATATATTAACTTTACTTTGTTATCATGCGTACGTAGAGATCACGAGTAATTTCTATTTAGCCTTTGGGAAAAGAGGTAACCATGTTATTTACTTTGAAGGCTTGTTTGTATGATTAGAGTATTATTTATATACTTATAGAGAAAATATTGTGTGTGTGTGTGTGTGTGTTTTGCTACGTATAATAACCTGTATTAGTATTATATAATTTTGTAAACTGTTGTTGAGTGGGATGATTGTTGTTACTCTGATTTTTTTCCGAACTATGTATATATATGTTTTATGAACGATATAGTCATAATTTTGGAAAATGATGCCATGTTTGCCTTGCATATGTTTGGAGGTTGCTTTGATGGAAGGTTATTTGTTTCCATGATTTTGATCATGTGATCTACCTCCATCTTTTGCACTTTAGTTGGCCATTCTTAGAACTCTTGGTATCTCAACTAGAGAGAGCTCTTGGGACAGGACACTTTTATAAGGACTTTTAAGGAGAGGAAACACATAATGGTTCAGTGGTGAGTACTGAGCCTATAGTCGGGCTGCAGCTTGCCATTAAAGGGTTCTACCAATAAAGAACTCACAAATTGTTATTGAAAGTATTAATTTTTGTATTTTTCTACATTAATATTCAATGTTTATGACTGATGACAGTACTGTTAGATAAGGCCTGAGGCCATGGGATTTGCATTACTATTTTATCAAGAGTAATTATTTTATTATGCAATTTCTATGTTGAGAATTTTATTGTGGAATACTCCCTTCGTCCCTATATATAAGAAGTCTTTTAAAACTTTTTTTTGTCCCTAAATATAAGAAGTTATTAGCATATTTTCTAATGAATGGACTATTATTCTCTTATTAAATTGAAAAGAGAAAAAGATAAGTATTTTCATAAATTTGCTTTGAAAAAAATTTATTTTTTATTTATAATAATTAGGGGAAAAATTAGAATGTTGTTATACTTTTAATTAGATAACCAACTTTTATTAGTTTGCATGATTTGGTTAAAAATATCTTATAAATAAAAACGGAAGGAGTAAATGTTTAAATAATTGATTGTGTTCCCAGATTTTGAGAAAGTGAGTAATTATTTTCAAGTTCTTTTCTACCTACCATATTATACTCTTTCTTATGATAGTAGAGCATTGTTTATTGATTTCGAATTTTATGTTTAAACTTTTATAATTTTGATAGCATTTTTTCTAGTTTAACCTTTTTCCATCAAGGTTGATTTTAAAGTATCTATTTCATTAGGTGAACCTCTTTATAAATACAGTAGCTTACTGAAATATAGTTTAACTCTTTTTTATAGCATGGTTACGTTTAAATAAATTTGAGAAAAATGGTTTTAAAATTTTATATAATGGTAATTGATTTTATGGGTTTAATTCTTTTATTGCCATGATATTTGTTTAAATTTTTAGGTTGTAAGGATTATATGTTACTCCCTCTGTTCAAAAATATATGGCATCTTTAATAGAATTTTACCTCCCAATAAAGTAGTTACCTACTTTTAAACTAACATTATCTTTTTATATTTGTCCTTATTAAATACCCTTATAATAAATATAAAGTCATTATCAATAGAAGTACTTTTGAAAAAAGACAATATTACACATTGAAAGATTAAAAATACCTTACATTTTTTAAACATCCAACTCCTTAAAAAATGCCTTATATTTTGAATGGAGGGAGTATATTTTTCTTGATACATTATGTGTAAGAGTAATTACTAGTTATCCTAATAAATTTTTTAAAATTTTGTTTAGTTAACTATTTAATTATAAATTCATTACATTTTAGAATATCTAGATTTAATCTGGATAGTTCATATTTAATCTCAATCTCTTAGAGGTAAATATTTAATGATATGATCTGGACTGTCTAGATTTAATCTCAACAGTTTAGTTTTAAATTTTTTATTTTTATTTAATGTTTATCAAAATAAATTTATAATTTTTTTTAGTAAAATTGTTCAACTTTAGACAGATTAAATTGTCCAAATTTAATATTAAAAATGTTTACATTTTTTATAAATTGACTATCTAGAGTTACTTTGGAATGGCCAGATTTAATAAATTTTATTTTGATAAATATAATATTAAAAATAAAGGCAATGTCTTAACTAGCTTTTCCCAATTTTTTTAATTACAATTTAAAATTTTTGAAGCTGAACATTCTAGAACAAATCTATAAAGTCAATTTATGAAAAATATAACAAATTAATATTAAATTTGGTCCTTTTATATTTATTGAACATTTTATAACTTTTTATTTGATAAAAATAAAAAAAATCTAAATCTAAATCATCTAAATTAAACATGAATAATCCAGATTATATCAAAAAGTGATGAGCACCTATTGTCCTTTGAGCGGACACACGAAGAGGAATCATCGTTGTTCATTATTTGCCCAAGTCCCGTTCAATTCTCAAAAACCATATTTAAAGTCTCTAAATATTTCAAGTATGACTTGAAAAGAAAAGGACAAACGTTGCCGAGCTACTAATTCAGTAGACTTGGCTAGTTTCAAAGGAATTAAATTTCAACGAGTGAACTTTCTTTCGTTATTTTCAAATATGGATTTATTCAATTATATATTCAGCTGCGTATATGAGTGCATTGCCCAAATAATATGTTGCATTTTGAATACTCAGTGTACTATTGTTGATAAGTTGATAGAAGTGCCCTCGAGAAATTACTTTGTTTTGACTTAAGGACAAGTCGAGAGAGTTGAATTAGTATAAGGTCTCGAGTTCAAGTATTTGAATATGAAGTCACATTAAATAAATATGACAAAAGCATTTTTAAAATGCTTGTAAAACCTTTGTTAATAATAAGTCCTGTTTGGACTAAATTGATATGTTGGGTTTGAAACAGTAGTTAATCAAGGCCCAATTCATTTTGAATGACGTTGCTAGTCATTGAGACTTGTCGTTTCGGTGTCATTTGTCATGGCACAACATGTGTTAGCAGTAGTGAATATGTCCCTTTTCCATATATGCCCCTGTAATGAACAAAATAAAAATAATAGTAATAATAAAATAAAATTAATTAATTAAATTATGAAAAGGTGTTTAAAGTATATTTTTATTATTTTTAGAGTGAATATGTCAAGAGAGAATTGTGGTCTATGAAAGTTCACCTAAGAGGGGGGTGAATTGGGTTTATAAAAATTTGATAAATGATAAGTAAAATAAGAACAAGAGTTTAGTGAGATATCACTAAACAGAGAGAAGATAAAGAAGAATAAGCTTGCTCAGATATTTATCCAGGTTCAGCTCCAATCACTTGATCTTACATCTAGTCCTCAAGTCCTCTTTGAGATTTCTCCACTAACTTCACCAAGATTAATCTAGGTTCTTGGTAGCCTCAGTACAATTCCAGACTTAAACTAAAGTCTGTCTCACTCCCCTTTACAAAGGCAATGAAGTAACCCAGTTAAACTTTCCAAATTTAAATTTCTCTATTATTAATCAATAAAATAGAGGCAAACAAAGTATGTTTAGAAGTGAACAACGATTGCTAAGTACAATCTCTTAGAGTTGATATATAATTAATAAAGCTTACTAGAAATAAATATACACTCAGAAGGTTAGTGAACAACAAATATAAATAACTTGAGCTTTTTCGTATTTCTTTGTATCTTCTCCATCTTCATAAATGTTTGTATTCATAGTTGAAGGTCATTAAGGATTTGTTATTCTTATTAATATAGTCGTTAGAGTTAATGGCTTATTTTCTCTGAGATATGTAAACAATCCCTAAACTAGGATAATGGAACAGTGCTTTTCGACGAAACTTTCTACAGCAAGTAAGGAAAGTAACACAACTTTTCATTAAGTGTTATGCCAAGGTAGGTGAGAATGCTATTTTGAAAGAGAAAAGCTTATTTAAGAATAAGAATTTTATTGGTAA